CAACGTCCCCAACACAATGATCAGACATCGGGTAGGACTGACCGACTATGTCGACGAAAGCAGAAGAACGAAGCTGTAGTGGGCCGGGCACGAAGTTCGGTTCAACGAAGAGAGATAGTTGGCGATGATCCTCGATTGGTACCTTCGAGGACGGACTAGGTCCCTTGGTCATCCGCCATTACGGGGGAGGGAAAAGATTATGTGAGGAGCGAGGAAGATTGCGCTTGGAGGGAGAAAGCTCGAAACCGCATGGAATGGCGGCGCTTCGTCGCTGATCACCCGCCGGTCCAAGTAATCCAAGTGACATGCTGTCGAATTTCCCATCTTTCTATATATTTATAGGTAAACGGACCAACCGTTTTCGCCAAGGTTATGTGCAGCCCCTTTTGGGGGAGTCAACGACATCATAGCTCAGATGCATATAACTAAGTGAATCATTAATATCACCAAGAGATGCTAATTGTAACCCGCATGGTGACAGTGATGGACCATTGCCCTAGAGCAAATTGCCGAGCAACTGCGAGTGCGGTGTGCATTGGGAGCTTAGCATAACCTGTGCCTATATTAGGTTAAAGGTAACGGTTCCAACAAGTATCAGCCATTTTAACTAGTATTTCTTTGCTAGCAATAAATGTGACCTAAGAAATTTAAATACGATCGCTACCCTCACGATGGCAGCTAACAGTGCATGATACAAAGTCAAAGCACTCTTTAAGTACGCCGAAAATCATTAGTTAGACCAATTTTAATGTTTACCCTGAAATGCTTCTGGTTATTACGGCTGTGACGGTACTAAGTAAATGAGAAAGGGAGGATTTCGCGTTTTATCCCTGTGTTTTCCTAGTAGCAGTCCTGTAAGTAAGCTAGTTTAATTTAAAGGCCTGCTACGAATCCTGAGACATTCATCGAGTAATGGCGGCATGGTACAACGCCTGAATAAGCCTTTGATTTTGATACGAATCTGCCTGAAGTAAGCATATGCACAAGTATTGTTTACTGGCCATAATCTGTATTTCGATTAAAAAAACGCGTCCAAATCTCTTTGTATCCCTTGAGTTTCAAGCGTGACCTAACCGATTTTCGATGAGTACTGTCGTTGCTAGTTACCGTAACCCAATCGCGACCGTTGCTCTGCAATCGGCTGCTTTAGAAGTCAATTTTTTGACAAGCTCACATAACACGGCAAAGCTAACAGCATCAGTAGAAGATGACAACTATGGTTTATTGAAGGTGGAAAATAGATTCGCAGAGGTCAGAAGCGGGTGTGATTAACGGCCGTTTTTTCACGACGTCTTGAGCGACGGGGAAAGGACGGTTTGTTCAGGTTGATTTTTTAGAGCACCCAGCACGAAATAAATTTTGCGGCCCTTCGAAGCTGGCTTTCTGCGACGCACCCTTTGTCATATTAGACCTGCAGAAGATCGTCGTCTGACTGCTGATGAACCTCTGCCCACCGGTGTCCGTCACTCTTACACCTCATAACTCAGTCTGCTGTCGGCCAGTCAGTAAATGGCGGCGCGAGGATTTGTTTCCTCGCCATTAACGTCGACACCTCAGTGTTACTGACTCCTTTGTTACTTACTCACTCGTCGCTCGTCGATCGCTCTCTGTCCCCCTTCCGATCGGCTGCTGACGACCTCACAACGTCATCGTTTTTTCGACCAACGTTTGCTCGCCGTGTAAACGTTGCACGTCGACAACTTAACGACGGACCTGTGTGGCCATCAGACACTTCGTATGGCTTTTTCACGTTTCTAAGCTCTCTAACGAGTGCTGCTAATGGCGCCATAATTTCTGGCCCTAGTCTCCTTCTCCGCTGCGTTTTTTCCTCGGTCCTTAGCTCGCCGCAACCTGCATAAACCTCGCAGTTGGCATACTTCGCGAATCTACTGTAGAATCGGCTGGGTGCAATGGTGCAGCCGAGTGCTGAACGTGCTGGCAGGGTTTTCAGAAGTTTCCCTCAATATTTGCGCAAATATTTCAGGCGTTTATTTCGCGTGTATTAAACGTTTCGCTTGGAAATCATGTACTTCGGAGTCGGGTCTAAATTGCACCATCCATCCATCCCAGCAAAAACGATTGACATCTTAGCTTGCAAAATTTACTTACTGACAAAGTTGGCCTTACCTCAGACTGGGACATGACTCGTAGTGGTTATTGTTTACTATGATAATAGCAACTACCACTGTTCAGAAAGAAAGTGCTAGAAGCTAAATCTGCTAGGTTCTGATCGCCTAAATTCCAACTCTTATTTTGTTCCGATTTTCTGATGCCACTGATCAGGTAGCGTCTGAACCACCTGGTCTTCGTCCTCATCAGTCTTTGCTTCGAATTCAGAAACGCAAAAGACAGATGAAAGGATTTCACAATACAATAGTGGTAGAAATTAACACTGACGGTAGCTCTGGCAACTACAAATCCTTTCGTCCTTTGGTATGAAATGCAACAACGTGAACAAATGGCAAGTAATCTGTTTCATTCTCATCTTCCTGATATTGTTTCCTACTTTGCTAATCAGAGTTTTGTCAAGTACATGAACTGATAAGTTTTTTC